AAATTAAAACCATTCCCTCTAAAATCAGGAACCAGACAAGGATGCCCACTATCTCCACTCCTATTCAACATAGTACTGGAATTCCTAGCCAGAGCAATTAGGCAAGAAGAAGGAATAAAAGGAATACAAATAGGTAAAGAAACTGTCAAAATATCCCTATTTGCAGATGACATGATCCTATACCTTAAAGACCCAAAAAACTCTACTCAGAAGCTTCTAGACATCATCAATAGCTATAGCAAGGTAGCAGGATATAAAATCAACATAGAAAATCATTAGCATTTCTATACACTAACAATGAGCAAACGGAAAAAGAATGTATGAAAACAATTCCATTTACAATAGCCTCAAAAAAAATCAAATACCTAGGTGTAAACCTAACAAAAGATGTGAAAGACCTCTACAAGGAAAACTATACACTTCTGAAGAAAGAGATTGAGGAAGACTATAGAAAGTGGAGAGATCTCCCATGCTCATGGATTGGTAGAATCAACATAGTAAAAATGTCGATACTCCCAAAAGTAATCTACATGTTTAATGCAATTCCCATCAAAATTCCAATGACATTCATTAAAGAGATTGAAAAATCTACTGTTAAATTTATATGGAAACACAAGAGGCCACGAATAGCCAAGGCAATACTCAGTCAAAAGAACAATGCAGGAGGTATCACAATACCTGACTTCAAACTATATTACAAAGCAATAACAATAAAAACAGCATGGTACTGGCACAAAAACAGACATGAAGACCAGTGGAACAGAATAGAGGACCCAGATATGAAGCCACACAACTATAAGCAACTTATCTTTGACAAAGGAGCTAAAAATATACGATGGAGAAATAGCAGCCTCTTCAACAAAAACTGCTGGGAAAACTGGTTAGCAGTCTGCAAAAAACTGAAACTAGATCCATGTATATCACCCTATACCAAGATTAACTCAAAATGGATCAAGGATCTTAATATCAGACCCAAACTCTTAAGTTGATACAGAAAGAGTAGGAAATACTCTGGAGTTAGTAGGTATAGGTAAGAACTTTCTCAATGAAACCCCAGCAGCACAGCAACTAAGAGATAGCATAGATAAATGGGACCTCATAAAACTAAAAAGCTTCTGTTCATCAAAAGAAATGGTCTCTAAACTGAAGAGAACACCCACAGAGTGGGAGAAAATATTTGCCAACTATACATCAGACAAAGGACTGATAACCAGAATATACAGGGAACTTAAAAAACTAAATTCTCCCAAAACTAATGAACCAATAAAGAAATGGGCAAGTGAACTAAACAGAACTTTCTCAAAAGAAGAAATTCAAATGGCCAGAAAACACATGAAAAAATGCTCACCATCTCTAGCAATAAAGGAAATGCAAATTAAAACCACACTAAGATTCCACCTCACCCCTGTTAGAATAGCCATCATCAGCAACACCACCAACAACAGGTGTTGGCGAGGATGCGGGGAAAAAGGAACCCTCTTACACTGTTGGTGGGAATGTAGACTAGTACAACCACTCTGGAAAAAAATTTGGAGGCTACTTAAAAAGCTGGACATCGATCTACCATTTGATCCAGCAATACCACTCTTGGGGATATACCCAAAAGACTGTTACTCCAGAGGCACCTGCACACCATGTTTATTGCGGCACTATTCACAATAGCCAAGTTATGGAAACAGCCAAGATGCCCCACCACTGACGAATGGATTAAGAAAATGTGGTATCTATACACAATGGAATTTTATGCAGCCATGAAGAAGAACGAAATGTTATCATTCGCTGGTAAATGGATGGAATTGGAGAACATCATTCTGAGTGAGGTTAGCCTGGCCAAAAACCAAAAATCGTATGTTCTCCCTCATATGTGGACATTAGATCAAGGGCAAACACAACAAGGGGATTGGACTATGAGCACATGATAAAAGCGAGAGCACACAAGGGAGGGGTGAGGATAGGTAAGACACCTAAAAAACTAGCTAGCATTTGTTGCCCTTAACGCAGAGAAACTAAAGCAGATACCTTAAAGCAACTGAGGCCAATAGGAAAAGGGGACAGGAACTAGAGAAAAGGTTAGATCAAAAAGAATTAACCTAGAAGGTAACACCCACGCACAGGAAATCAATGTGAGTCAATGCCCTGTATAGCTATCCTTATCTCAACCAGCAAAACCCCTTGTTCCTTCCTATTATTGCTTATACTCTCTCTACAACAAAATTAGAAATAAGGGCAAAATAGTTTCTGCTGGGTATTGAGGGGGGGAGAGGGAGGGGGTGGAGTGGGTGGTAAGGGAGGGGGTGGGGGCAGGGGGGAGAAATGACCCAAGCCTTGTATGCACATATGAATAATAAAAGAAAAATGAAAAAAAAAAAAAAGAATGTTGGGGGCAAATTTATATACTAGACTTGCATATATCATTTGAAGTTTGTTCCCCTCAAATACCAGTTTTAGCACACAGGCTTATTAATACACACACACACACACACACACACACACACAGAAAACACCATTCAAATCCAAGAATAATTGAAAAAAAAAAACTTGGTGGAATCTCTCAAAGAATATCAACATCCAATTCAAATCCCATGGAAGAACTTAAAAATCCACCAGCCCATTCTTTTCTCTCAGTCTCTTACACAAAGCCATATTTAAGGGTTTTTGTCCTCTGCTTTCCTGTATCCATACACTTTTACCTTTTAGTATAAGTTGCACATTTGTAGCCCATAGATCAAATTTCAAAGTTATGCATGCATTAACTTTGATATGTTTTATAAACAAGTTTAATTAGCTATCAATATTTATAAGTTGGTAAAAGACAAATTCAGTGTATCTGATTTCTCTTGAAAATTCTGAAGCATTGTCAGAATGTTGCCTTCATTTTACAACTGGCTAGTGTTGAACAGTGACTTTTCTTCAAATATGACATAACCCTTTAGTTTGCCAGTCTTTATCCCTTCCTGTTTTATTACATATGGTCAGTGTTACCATTTATGGTATAGACCTGGCCTCTGTAGATACTGGAATTTGTGCTTTTAATGTTGTGCTTTCCAATGTAAATTAATCTTTCTTAGATCTCTTCCAAATTTTGCAACCTTTCTATATTATAGAGTAGCACAACAAAAGTTCTAAGAGTCCAGCAGAAGACCTTGAGAACCGTCAAGAAGCCAGACTTGAGCTGTAGCCTTTTGGACAGTATAAACAATAAAATCCCTGTGCAGATCCCTATCAGTTAGAAGAGGGGGAAAAACAGACAACTGGTTACAGTAAGTTTGTACATGCAAGACCTCTTGCTGGGATGGAAAGCCCAGCTATGGGAGAGAATAAAGTGGGGGGAGTAGTGGTCTATCTGTGCCAGGGTTTCTGGAAAAGTAGAGATTAACAATGGTCTCTGGGAAGAAGAGAAGATGGAGGAGAAAATAGTACAATAATATCAAGGGGATCTATGAGAAGGAATTGCAATGTCAGTGATATATTATACATACATACATACCTAAAACAATAAATTGAAAAAGCTATGACTTTTCTGGGAATTGTCTCCTGTATGGTTGAACAAATTGTTGACATGGGAAAAAATTCTGCTTACTTTAGTCTGTGTCTTTATACTCTGCCCTTTAAATATTTATTTGCATTTCTCAAAGACTTCAATTATATTAGAGATACTGAGAGAACTTTGTAGTATTTAGTACTTGCTACAGTTAATTTTCTTTCTAAGCACAAGAACTCCCTGCCCCTTCAATACAGAGATTTAATTAAAAAGGCAACCAGAAAAAACAAGAACAAAAAAATTAAAAACTGCATTAACAATACATGTCCATGCTTGGACTTAGATTAAATTTTAGCAATCCTTTCCTAGTGAGGAAAAGTAACATGAATGCAATTTGCAAAACAAAAGTGAAGGCAAGTTACCTTAATGTGATTATATACTCATTTTTGTACAATTAACATCTACTTCTTTTTAACCAGTTATTTTTAGAAAGCAGCAGGTATACTTAGTAATAGTAATTGAGTAATTTTATTGGTTACACAATTATGATGTCAGATGGAATTCAGTAATTTAGATCAGAGTAGATTGGCATATTATGCCTTTATGACTAAAAAATATATAAGGAAATTATATTTTATTTGCTCATTTGAGTTCCCATTCCAAGCTATTTGTTAGCTGTGCAACAAAGAAAATAGTACATGGGCTTTAAACACATACATATGACTCATAACAGTTATATATAAAAAGCTTAGGTTCCCAGTCCATAGTAAACACTAAATGTTGGCTCTGATTTCTATAATTCTAACATCCTCTCCCAGAAGATTCTTTACAGTATCTTTCCTTAAATGAATCCACCCCTTCTTTCCCTGTCTTTCGTATATATGTTACCAAATCCTGCAAATCTATAAGACAGTTGTTGGATACCTGTGATTTTCCTATACTTTCCCAAATTGTGAAAACCCTAAAATAGCAAGTCCCCTTGGCTACAAACACCACCCACAGCAAATGTGTTAATAAGTCATACCTTACCCTCATCTTCCTGTCCTAAACCATGTGCCCTGCTCCCTTCTGTCAACCATGGATGCGCTAGACTTCATATCCAACCACAAATTTCTCATGAATTTAGAAAACTGTTCTTCTAATTCTCCTCCAGAAACTCAAAAGTATGAGAAGATCCCTTCGTCCAGGGCATGTAGAAGACTTCTCACAGATTTCTCTACAAGACAAAATTACTCTTATGTCTTTGACTAGATAAACCTCACCTGAGGTGTGAATCAACTGAAATTCCTCATGGTACGCCGTTGCGCATGCGCCGTACCTGCCGCCGCTCTCGCTGGGGGAACTTGGTTCTTTCTCAGACTTCCGTTCGAACTTCCCCGCCGCAGCTGAATTCACCAATCATAAACGCCCTTCCTCTGGCCCCGCCCCCCCGCAGCCCCTTCCGGAACCCGAGCGCGGGTGCGCGCACACTCCTCTCTTCCTTACGCAAGGTGCGCGAGGACGTCGGTCCATGGCGATGTCGTCGCCGCGTGCGGACTCCCGCCTGGGCCACTCGGACTAGCCGTTGGGCGGCCTAGCGAAACCCCGCCCTCAGGAACCCCCTCCCACGTCGGAACCGCTCTAGCAGCGGACACCCATGTGGGGGTTCGGGCTCCTGCGGTCCCCGCAGCTGCTGCTCCTGCTGCCGCAGCTCGGACTCGGAAACATCTCTTCCCGCCTGCAGGCCGGAGCCATGAGCCAGGGAGGCATCGGCGGCGCGCGCTGCTCCCCCTCGGCGGAGGGACGCCGCCCGCGGTGCCTGCAGTTGTCCACTGTGCCCGGAGCCGACCCGCAGCGCAGCAACGAGTTGCTCCTGCTGGCGACGGCAGGGGAGGGACCACAGCGGCGGAACCTCCCTGGGGACCCGGCAAAGGAGGAGCCGCAACCGCCGCCCCAGCATCATGTCCTCTATTTCCCCGGGGATGTGCAGGTAACCCGGGGCCGGCCTGGGCACCTGTCCCCTCCCGTAGCTTCTCTAGGTCCCCTCGTGGCTGCTGCCCGGTTCCTTGCCTATGCTGAACACACCCACATAGGCACCCGCGGGGTGCGCTTCCGTTACTCCATGAAATTCCAAATCGTCCCTTGCACACCCCTGGATCCCTTCTCCATAGAACCCAGGGGAAGGTGTCCTTGGGGGTGATGGTTTCAAAGAGCTCGCTGTCAATCTAAAGGGTAGCATTTGAGTGATACAGGGAATGAGACACAATGTGTGTTCATCTTCAACTTGGTTTCTCTGAGGACTCCATATGTGTGTGTTGGGCAGGGGACAAGGAAGATAGCTTTAAAATTAACTCAGCACAGCACATAGTGTTCAGAAAACGGTGACAGTAATTTTTTTAAAATTACAAAAAAGGTACATTATCAACAATCCTAAAAATGGTCGGCGGTGGTGGAAGAAAAGGGATAGTGGTTGCCAACCATGTTAGTATTTTGATGCTCACTTAAATTCTGAACTTTTGTTTTTGTGTTCTAGGTTAGTTATTTTATAACTGCGGGCATATATAGCTTAAGGAAAATATCCATGGTTATATTTGTCCTAGATGTTAATCAAAACTGCACTGTAATACATTAGTCATTAGCCATCCGAGACTATCTGAATTAAAATTACGTAAAAAAATGAAAAACAGACAAGTCAAAGAAAACTAATTCATCAACAAGGCTCCAACCTTCTTAGGTTTTTGTTTTGTTTTTTTTTTTTTTCAACACTAGGGTTTGAATACAGGCCTCACATTTGGTGCTCTACCAGTTGAGCCATGCCCCAGCCCTCAGTGTATCTAAAGTGATCAGAATAATGGTTTAAAAAATGAAGGTCTCTTCATGCCATGACTCTACTCAAAAATCTGCAAATGGCTTTCCATTGAAAGCTTCTCATTCTCTACCTTTTCTCACAGTTTTCTCTGACTTTGTCTCTTGTTTTTCATTTTATGTTATTAGTTTTATAGCTACAGGCATATCTTTTATGATTTATTTTATAGTTGCAGGAAAATATCCATGGTTATGTTGTCCTGGAAGCTGAGTTTTAATCCAAAACTGGCTAAAAATGGCTAATGTGTCAGCAATTAGACATATGAGACTAGCTAAATTAATTAAAATTAAGTAAAGTTAAAAACCCAGTTTCTCTGTCATAGTAGTTGCATTGCAAGTGCCCAGTCACTATGATGGCTAAGCTTTACTGTTTTACTCTGCTTCAGCCTCACTGGCTTTCTTGGTGTTGTTCCAACATGTCAGGCACACTTCACCTCAAAAGCTTATCACATACTGCCCAGAACAGGCTTCCTGTGGATAGCTGAATTATCTCACCTCTTTCTGTCTGCATTAGAGGAAAAAAGAGACATTGAGGCTTTTCTGACCATCCTATTTAATAATCATACATACTCTTTTTTTTCCATGTTTTTGTTAGTGCACATTAATTGTGCAGTGTGGAGGGTTTCATTGTGGTATTACTATACATGCATATAATATGTTTTCCTCATATTCACTCCCAACTCTTTTTAATCATTTCATCTATGTTAGTAACTTTTCATTTTGGGATTTGTCTTCTACCACTAAAATGTAAGCTTATGTCTGTTCACTGATACAGCTGTGATGCTTAGAGAATGGCACGCTCTAAGTGTTCAGTAGATTTGTTGCATAAACGAATTCATGGAAATTACTTTGAATAATGCATGAAGTGCTTTATATATGTTGGCTATTATGTACAATGATTTTAGGCTCAGATTTTATACTCTACATCTTTGCACTTAATTTTTTTAACCTAACTTTCATCCTAATGAAGATTTCCCTATGTGACACAACCTATCTTTTTGGTGTGTTGATCCTTTTAGAATACTTTAGTTTCATCTTATATATAGACTAAGCATTCTTTTTGTAGTTTTATTCTTGGTTCAAGTAAACATTGACTAGAATAGGGCCAAACAGAACTTGGGTAAGATACCATTAGAAGCTTTGCCTCATATTGATACTGACTTATTTGGTATTAATTGTAACTGCTTGTTCATACAATTTTAAATCATCCTAATTACCATTACTTTCTTGATGTTTCTTAGTCATTTTCCACTGTTATGGCCTTTTCTTATTCTGTACTTTTTCTTTATAATTCGAATTTAAAGCAGAGGCCCTCATATTTCCTAAGATACTTGTTTATGTTCTTATCTCAGTAATGATTTTTGGAGGCAGATGGGAATTTTTTAAGTAGATGCTTTTCAATTTTGAGTTATCTTACTTTTCAAAACCTTCGGATATAAAATTATACTATCTCTTTAAAATATAAGAGTGTAATTTGATGAATTTTGACAAGAGTTAGTTATGAAACCCCTACTATCACAATCATGTTTTAGAGCATCTCCATCACCCTAAAAAAGTACCCCTATGCTCTTTTGTTGTCTATTCTCTTTTCCTAGTCCCAGGCAACCACTGATCTGCTTTCTTTCACTATAGTTTTGCCTTTTCTATCATTTCATGAATCTGGAGTCATATAGTATATAGTCTTTTGCCTCTGACTTCTTTCACTTAGCATAATGCTTTTAAAATTCATCCTTAACACAGTGCCTATACATTACCAGTTTCTTTTTCTTACCAAGTAGTATCATATATACATACATATATATATATATACACACACACATACATATATACACAGACACACACACACAATTTGTTGATCCATTTAGTGTCCATACCATATGAATCATTTCCAATTTTAACTTTCAAAGAATTTCTTTCCTAAAAGATAGGATATACAGATGACCATGCCCTAAGTGGTATGTCCTGGTCATGTCCTCTGGGGTTTCCTTTCTCTATTAGTCAGTCCTTTTAGGAAGGATACTTATTCTGGTCATTCTAGCCTGCCTACTTGGAATGTGTACTTTATGTTCAGCAAAGATGTCCTTTTGGTCCATTCTTTTTGTAGGCACTGGGGTTTGAACTCAGGGTCTCATGCTTGCTGGTTCTTACCGCTTGAACTATTCCACCAGCCCTTTTTTGTGTTGAGTTTTTTCGAGATAGGTTCTCATGAAGTATTTCCCCAGGCTGGCTTTAAACCATGCTCCTCCTGATCTCTGCCTCCTGAGTAGCTAGGATTACAGGCATGAGCCTGTTAGTTGAGGCTGGCCTTGAACTTTTAACTTGCCCTTTTTTCTTTTTGAGAAAAGGATCTTGCTGTATGGCCCAGACTGGCTTTGAACTCAGGACCATCCTGCCAAAGTCTTTCAAGTGCTAGAATTATAGGAATGCACTACCACAACCTGCTTTTGAAATGATTTATTTAAGCTCTTCTATATCTAAGCTTCTGTGATTTTTATAATTGTGGGTATCATAAATCTAAATGTATAGAAGGTAATAGCAAAATCCATAAAAAGTCAAATGATCTGGAAATGTTTTTGACATACATGGCAAAATATTAATAAACATGGCAAACTTAAATGAAATACAACTATTATGAAAGAGTTGAGCATCACAGTGGGAAAATTATCAAAGGACATGAACAGAATTAACAGAAAAAAATGAAAATTGCCAATAAATAGAAAATGGTCAACCTGATAAGAAATGAAAACATGCAAATTACATCAAAAGTATGACATCATTTTCTCATAATAAAGATTTTTAAAAATTAATGCAGATATTCATTAACATTAAGGATGGGTAAAAATGTAGGAAATTACACATTCTTGTGTACTTCCACTGGAAGTATAAATTTTTAATTGCACTGATGTCTGTGGTACAGATCTATATTGATAAGGTGTCACATCTGTAATACATTTTTAGTGAAAATTATGTCTAAGCTTATGGTTACATATTTGGAGAGAAGTAAAGAATGTTTCCCTGTATACATAAGTATGTATGTGTATTTTTACTATAGAAAACAGGACTGCTAGACACTAATATTTCAATGATCATTTCTAGTTGATGACTTTATGGATGATTTTTCTGTCTTCCTTATGTCTTTGATACCCTTGATATCTGTGGGCATGTGTTTCGAGGCAGGCTACCATTGAGGTAGCACTGCAGGTGCTCATGACACTTTATAGTTCAGTCCTGTACTGTGGATGGTTGATTTAATTTTCTCAGAACACGCCCCACTTCTTTAAAGACACACTGCCTCTCAACAAATCTAAAATTTTCACTTGATTGCTTTAATTAAGCATTATGCTCTTTTTTGGTTTGAGAGGATTACCATACTTCTACTTTTGAGGGGGGGGACAGTACTGGGTTTGAACTTAGGGCCTCCTGCTTGCTAGGCCAGTGCTCTGTCACTTGAGCCAGGCGTCCAGCCTTTTTTTTTTTCTTGTTTTTTGCTTTCAGTTATTTTTTAGGCAGGATCTTACTTTTGTGTGTGTGACCAACTGTGTACCTTGATCTTCCCAATCTCTGCCTCTCAAGTAGCTGAGATTACAGGTGGGAGCCACAGTGTTTGGCACCATTTACTTTTTGGGAGGCATATTTTCACAAAATTAAGGACAAGGAAACACTTTTTAGGTCACACAATTTAAACATGAATAATGATAACACAGGATTGAGAGCTTTTCTGCATCAACTAAGTTACATAATGCAACTTAGAATATTAAATTTTCTTGTTTTTGAAATGTCTTGACGTTTTTAAAAATTATTTTTACTGTGCTTGGTCAAAACACTAGCAGATTGTAATAAATCTGCAAATAAGAAATAAGGTGGGCTTACTGTACGTAGACTGAATTTTTATAGTATTTTATTAAATTTTTTTAAATAAGAAAAGGTATGTATATTGCGTAAAATTCAGATTGCTTAAGTTTGTACATGGAAAGGTGTTTTTCTCTCCATTCCCTCGTTTCTCATTTCTCCCAAAAGTACCGCTGTTGTATATGTATACATACATATGTATATGTACATGTATGCATATATATATTAATATATCTATATACATATGTATACATGTATGTATGTATGTATACATTCATCCAGAGACATTCTATGCTTATGCAGGTTTGTAAAAAACACAAATGGTAGCATGGCAGCACTGTTTTTCTTATTTCTCTTTCTTCCACACTGTATTCAATACATCAGCCAATCTTGACTCTACTTCCAAAATATGTTCAGAATTTGACCACTTCTCAGCACCTCCACTTCTACTACCACTGTGGTTTAAGTCACTTTCTTATGGAGATTTTTTGGTACCTTTTTAACTGGTCTCCCTGCTTCAGCTGTTGCCCCTCCCTTCCCACATAGAAGCCAGAATAATTCTTTCAAAACTTAGATTGAATCATCCTCTGCTTCAAACCTTCTAGAACAAAAGCCAAAGTCCTGGCGTTATCTTACAAAGCTTATGAGCACCCCCTCAATAATCTCTCTGCCTTCACTTTTGCTCCTGTTCATTCTACAAACACTGACCTCATTGCTATATCTTGGTTATACACAGCTACATCCACCTGGGAACTTTTTGTAGCTGTAGGTGCTTCTGCCCAAAATATCCACATGGCTCACTCCCTTAATTCCTTCGGGTCCTTCTTATCTGTCACCTTATTTGAAAAATCCTGTCCTGACCATTTTTCATTAAATACTAATTTTCCACCTTCTCCAAAGCCTTACACTCCTTTTCCCCCAGTTTATTTCCATTGCACTTATCATTTGCACTTACCTGTCTATTTACCACTTGAAATATGGTCTACTCTTGCCTGTAGACTATTCTAGTCAATTAAACTTTTAATCACATTTAATTTCAGCTCATTTAAATTTTTATGCCCAATTCAGTTCCATAATTGGGTATGTAAATATACTTTTTTAGTTATTATGAAATCTAAATTCAGATGTGTTCTGATGAAAATTTATCCAAATTGAGATATGCTATGTGTGTGAAACATCCACTGGATTGCAAAGACTTAAATAAGAAAAAATCATCTCCCAGTCATTTTTTTGTATTAGCAATATGTTGAAATAATTTTAGATGTATTGGGCACAGTAAAATATTAAAATTAATTATACGTGTTAACTTTTAAGTTTTTAATGCAGCTACTAGAACTTTTATGTGTGGCTTACCTTTCTACTGGACAGTGCTGCTCTACATTTAAAGAGTTTAATGTTTTTGGTTTTTTCCTGTACTCAGGTTTGAACTCTGGTCCTGTACCTTGAGCCACTCCCTCAGCCCTTTTTGAGATGGATTTTTTTTCCAGATAGGGTCGCATGAACTGTTTGCCCAGGCTGGCTTCAAACCATGATCCTCCTATCCTCCTGATCTCTGCCTCCTGAGTAATTAGGATTATAGGCATGAGCCACTGGCACCCGGCAGTTTAGTTTAATTCTGACTAGAATGTGAGATCCATGTGGGCAAGGATTTAGTTCTGTTCCTCACCCAAGTAGTGGATATCCAATCAACTTTATGGAATAAAGGGATATATTTGAATGAACTGCTTCTTTAAAAAACCAACTATGAATACAAATGGAAAGGAGAATGAAATTTATATGTTGTAGAACCTAAACAAGTTATTGTTAATATGTATTGAATACCTTGTAAATAAATAAGATCTACACACAATAGGCAAAGGATGGAACAAGCAAGAGTAGAAATCTGAACAGCTAATATATGAATAAAATTTCAACTTCATTCTAATTTTCAATAAACTAAAGTTTGAATGAGTTATCCTGTGCCTGTGAAATCTGAGGAAAAGGAAACTCATACATACTTCTTTGGAAGGCAGTTTTATAGTCTGTTTTCACCAACAGTAAATTATAATTATTTTTGACCTAGTTTTCTATATCTAGAAATTTAAGAATGTAATCACAGATGGGTACAAAGATTTTTCTGTGATGTTCCTGCAGCTTTGTTTCTAACACCAAAACCAAAATCAAACATAGCAGCCAGAAACAAAACACAACAGTCAGGTTGCTAGAAGGGTGGAGGTGCAGGATGAGCAGCTCATTAAAAGTGAAATATTTTTAAAAATTTGTCTTGGTCAGAAAGTTTGTGTGGTGAACCAAATTTTATTTGATTGATGCATGAGGAAACTTGATTATAAGAATACTAAAATAAATTAAGCCTATCATCTTTCTAAATTGTTTTAAAAATTCTTACTATTCAGTATAGATATATCTTATTACCCTGTCACTTAATGGATTTGAAGTACAGTAAAGAGGTATTTTGTTCAAAAATCTTATAACCAGAAAGTAGTAGCAGATTTTGTTTTCATTTCTAGTATATTGACCATAGGTCATTGTAATTTCCTTTCTCCATAATAAAAATAGGAAACTTTTGTAGAAATACTTTTATGTAAATATGTATTAAATGATTATTTCATCTTTCTTACCTTTCAGAATTACCATGAAATTATGACTCGTCATCCTGAGAATTATCAGTGGGAAAACTGGAGTCTAGAAAATGTTGCCACCATTCTAGCCCACCGGTTCCCCAATAGTTATATTTGGGTGATAAAGTGTTCCCGAATGCATTTGCACAAATTCAGCTGCTATGACAATTTTGTGAAAAGCAACATGTTTGGTGCCCCAGAACACAATCCTGATTTTGGAGCTTTTAAGCACCTCTATATGTTATTAGTTAATGCTTTTAACATAAGTCAGAATGGTTTGCTATCAAGAAAAGGGAATGTTTGGAATAAGGACTCCAGTGCATCTAACTGTAGATCTAATTCTTCTACTAGTAATGGTTGCCCAGGAGAAAAAGAGAGGACCTGTGAAAACTTTGATGAATCTGCCATGAGTTTTTATCCACCATCACTGAACGGTGCATCTTTTACTTTGATTGGATTCAGTAAAGGTTGTGTTGTTTTGAATCAGTTGCTTTTTGAATGGAAAGAAGCCAAGAAAGACAAGAACATAGATGCTTTCATCAAAAGCATCAGAACGATGTATTGGCTGGATGGTGGTCATTCTGGAGGAAGTAATACTTGGGTTACATATCCAGAAGTCTTGAAAGAATTTGCACAAACAGGCATTATTGTTCACACCCATGTAACACCTTACCAAGTACGTGATCCAATGAGATCTTGGATTGGAAAGGAGCACAAGAAATTTGTTCAGATACTTGGGGATTTTGGTATGCAGGTGACTAGCCAAATTCATTTTGCACAGGAAGTTCCTTCCATAGAGAACCACTTCAGGGTTCATGAAGTATTTTGAGACTATAAAAATATTAAGGTACTTGTTCAGTAGAAGAGCATAAGCACTTTGAATGTTGTAAATTCAGATAATGAGATGTAAGATGTAATTTACAGATGCATTGTCACTGTGGGGGTTGGGGGAAGCACACATTCCTAAAACATGAGTGTAATGTGCTTTTGAGTGTGAGTTTTTACTTTGGATTGAGTTAGAATTAGTTAACTTGAAATCTAAAAGGGTGGTCTGTGATAATCCTGTGAGGAGATATGGCCCTTAAAATGAAAGAAATTTAACAATAAAGTCCTTTTAAAAGGCAACTAAAATTGTTGGAAATAATTGATTTTCTGAGTAATGTTTTAAACTAATTTTGTTGACATAACAGCAGTTAGCTATTTTGGCATGCAAAACTTGAGGGGAAATACTTCATTTCCTTATAGACAAAAACAAAGGCACCCTGTTTTCCATCATTTTGGAGTAATTGTATCCTGCCTCTTTTGTTTCCTAAACTCATGAATTTTTTTCTTAATATGTCACCAAGTGATTTTTTTTTCTTGAGTCTTTTATTCCCAAATGTCCAAGAATATGCAATAGTATAAAGTTGATTTTTAAAACATTACACTTAAGCACAGTAGCTTCTTCAAATTGACAGTTTTTAATCGATTATCTTGGGATTTCTTGAATGTTGGCCAAAAGACAGTTGTTTTTGAAAATTGGTTTAATTTTAGTTTAACTGCATATATTGGATAAATGTATACTGAGTAGAGTTCACATTTTCATTCAGTCTTTTAAAACAGACCAACTTAGGTAAAATAAATATATAATGCTCTGTTTGGTAGTGCTCCGTGAGACAGATTCCACAGACCTAAATCATTATTTCTTCAGAAGCTTGATTTCGTCTGCCAAAAGAAAATAGTTCTCTTTGGCCAAAATGCAAAATGACATTGCTATAAGAAAAGTTACAAAGGGAAAGTTTGAAGATACAAATGATTTAATGTTGGCTCAAAAACTGAATTTGCTTCACACTACTACATAATTTGGGTGAAGTTCCTTCTGCCCGTTTTTCTTGACCTAGATAAGTACATTTTGAGAAAACAAGATCTAATGAATTTCAGCCAACATTAAAACATAGCTGTGTGGCTATAAAAAGTGATCAGTCACCTTTCTAGTTTATTAGTAATTCGCTTTGCAGGTTGTAAAATAACTAAGCAGGGATGTTACGTGCGGCTTTAGGACCGAAAAAATAAGATTAATACTTAATGACCCAGAGGACTTAAGTTTATAAAACAATATAGGAAATGTTAATTTCTTGGTTTCTTCCCAGAATTATATTTTAATGACTCATGAACATTCCAAATATTCAGAGACTAATGAGAAAGGATTCTTGCAGACCAGATGCTAAAAAATTAACAATTCTATAAACTACAGAAGGGTATCTGTAAATTTTTAAAAGTCAAAGTAGTTTTATATTGCTCCATTTTCTTTAAATATCTGCTCTTTCTTTTGAAGCCAAAAATTCTCATTGCAGAAACAAGTCACCTTGATTCTAACATTTTACATATTACTTTGCCTTTAAACACTGATTGGATGGCTTTTCTAATTAACTTAGTAAGCCTTAGTTAAGTTTGCATGGATCTAATGTACAATACCTGAATTACTGCATGGTCAAAGGAGGAAGAAAAGGCTTCTGTTTCACAGGATTAATTAAAATGTTAAGACAGAACTTTCAGTGGAAGAATTCACTTTAAAAACCTGAATATTTTTTAAGATGTGAACTCTTCAGCCTTCCACTCATGTGAATGCTTAATTTTTATTGTTATATATCGAACGGGTATTCAAAACTCACCAGGCACCTAAAAGTGCCATCACGTCAAAGTGAGATAATGTTGAAAAGTAAAAACATGTTTTGGAATGAAAAATGTGTTCAAGTTAATCCATATACAATTTTTTTTTGTTTAATACTTCAGATTGGTCTTTTTTCTGTTTGTTAAAACTGTTAATGTTAGTGTGACCTCTTGGACTACGTCTTTGTAATGAAAGTCAACTGAGAAAAGTGGTTCTACAAATAATGTGAAAGTTGTTATCACCACAGCATGTGTGTAATTGTATTAAAGTTAACGATCTACAGAAGTTTGTTTGTATGTGCTTTATCTTGTTAACATTGTTCATTCAGATCATTATCAGAAAGGAGATTTCTTTCCACCTTGCAATTTGGATTTATGTTTTCATTAACCTCTGTCTTTTCAAATGAAAGTCTTAAACCTTTCCTATAAAAATACATCTCTTCTTTTAAATTACTCCATAAAAATTTTTACATTTCTCCATTTCTTCTGTTGGGTTTCCTAGAGAATAACAAGTTCTTCCTTTGCTAATCATCTCAGATGTCTGTATTCCTTTAGCTCTTTAAGGGACTTTTTTAGAATATAAGGTGATCTGTTTTTCACTTCATTTGTGCAGTGAGTAAAGGAGGTTTAAGCAATAAAGATTGGCACAAAGTCCCAGATATTGGTGTGGAAATACGTAATAGACTAAAGCTTAGGAGGGGAAAATGTGAAATGAAAGAAAAGGTAGCATTCAGTGAAGAGCTACTCTATTTCATTTTAGAGCCTTTTAAGAGAAATACACATTAAAGGATAAGATGTAAATATACCTCATTTGTGACTCACATTGTTCTTTACAAAGGTATAGAGGCCCAACGGCTCTTAGATGTACTGGTACAGACAGGCAGCCACGTAGGATGACTTAGGATTAGTGTCCACTTCTAGGTATATTAAGACACCCAAATATTCATGGTTTGTATGCTTATAATAAGACTAAGGTAACAAGGGAGATGTGTGAGTGACTGTCAACCACATGTGTTTTATAGCATTGGAGGCAGGAGTCACAACAGCAAAGTTCCAGTTCTGTCCAGGTCTGCCTTCCAACTTCCTGCATTTTTTTTTTCACAGCTCCTTATGTTTAGCTTCAATGTCTGTTGACAACTTTTTATAGGTGAGAAGCCTGGTTACTGGGTTCTTTCCAAATGTTCACATAGCTGCTTTAAAAGGATGAAGGATACAAATTAAGATTTATTAACTTTGTTTCCCTTGTTTGATATTTCATTAAAGTAAGAAGTTTGAATGAACAGACTTCCAATGTACTCAAGTACAGACAAAATACTGTTACATTGTTCATGAAAAGCCAGCAAATGCTGTGGGGATGTAGCTCAAGTGGTACAGTACCTGCAGTGCAGATGTGAGGCCACAAGTTCACCTAAAAATTTTTAAAAAGTACTTTCTCAGATTAAAAAAGAAAAGCTAACAATTATACCTATTTAAAAGTTATCTTGAAATGATAATATGGAAAATTCACAGAGTTCAATCTGCAGATATCTAGTCTTCCTATCTGGTTCCTCTTAGAGGAACCCCTGTCTTTATCCTTACAGAGCTGTCTATGCCTATTTAAGTGTTTACACAAAGCATACCTTATTTTACACAAACAGCAGCATAGCTGCAAACTTGTAATGACACTAGACATTGCTTATTCTTTGGTTGCATAGAATTTATTATATTCTGCTGCCTACATTCATTGGTTTATTTTTAATCCTTACCTATTCAGCAAGCCATGCTGTGAGCAGCTTTGTAAGGAGAGGGAAAAATTCCTTTGTGCATCAGGTCAAGCTCCCAAATTGTAGCCAAAAAAAAAGCTGTATCATTTATCAGAAGTATTTGAAATGTGCTTCATATAGGTGAAAAAAATGGGGAAAATTACTAACATAGTCACCACAACCATAAGCCCAGTTCATATCACAGCTGTGCTAGCCTTAACAATCACTTACACAATCTGGGTTGGTTATGTAATTTCTGAGCTGCTTTTCAACAACAAAACTAATATACTCATTTGGCCTTAGTCTAGGGGTAAAAAAAAAAAAAGATCAAACTATTTTGATCTTAAACGGACCTTAACATTTAAATTTCTCAAAGGGTTCATCTCTAGCTTTCTAAATAGAACACTGAAAGAGGAATTGCCTCAAATCTCTCAGCCAGGAAGGAATATAATTAAATAGAATAACTAGCACCAGCCATCAACTATGTGCCTACCTTTAACTATCTCCTGTGTTTTTTATAACAACCCTATGAAGTATGTAATGGTTCTGTTTTAAAGATGAAGAAAATAAGTTGCATAGGTTGTTAAATTTGCCTAAGATTTTTCAGTTGGCTTCCCAACTAACCAAACTAAATTAAAATGAATATTCAGTATGCCAATTCTGTTTTACTTTCAAGTTTCTACATGACTGAATTTATAAGAGATTTATACCAATTCTCTTATTGGTTAAGAACTTAAGGAAAGCTTATTGAAAGCTGACTATAAATACTGTTGAGTTTTTGTTTTTTTCCTTTCTGAAGTAAAGCAGTCACTAAAGATGTTCTTTGCTTAGCTTTAGAAGTAACCAAAGATCAAAATCTGATAATTAGATCTAGTTATTATATTAAAATAATTCATTTTCTGGAATTTTTTGCCACCTTTGTTGATATCGGTAACTTCAGTATCTCCAAAAAGGCCTAGGAAAATCAGAATTTTTAATATACTTTTTCTTTCTTGTGTACTATAATTTGCTTTTTATCCCTGAGTTAACCTAACTCTAGAACATAAGTGGATTATCTTCAACAGAAAAAATTATTTCCTCTGTAATTAAAATGCACAAAATTTATATACACTGCTTTAAATGGGCACATTTGTGTTCAGTAAATATATTTTGTCTTCAATGACACTGCAATGTAATTTACTAGGTACAAAACAAAGAACAGTAAAGACACACAATGGCTCACTGTCTTCAGAGACAACATTACTAAGATCTCAATCTTTTTTAAAAAAAGTATTTCTTTATAAAAGGTGAAAAATATTTAGTGGGGAAAACTTTAATTAGGTTAAGGTTTAGACATATGTATAAACTGAAACATTTATTTTCTAACATTCAAAACCTGAAAACAGGCAGATTTGATACATGGAGTGGTAAGAAAATTACCCCATCAGATTAAACATGTTTTGAATAGTCACAAAAATCATAATCTTAACCAATGTCATAAAATCTAATGATGCCGTCCCGATTATGCATCAAACATCCTGTAAAACACCAACACCAAATCTCAAACACAATGAATCAAAACCTACAAAGTTGAAGTAGAAGCATCTGCATGTTTAAAAAAGTGCCTCAGATTCTGATAATGGCAAATGTATGACAAAATTGTAAGTTGCCTACCTTTTTTCCTTTCCTACAAAGCCTGATTTAAAAAGAGTTAATTTAAATATTCTGTCTCCACAAATACTTTGTGTGCCCCAAAGGAACAGGATTCTACTCCAAGCTCCAGCAGGCCTCACTGGCCTAAGGGTTATTTCAAACCCTTTGCTTACGACTGACTCAGGGATACACACGTCTAAGATCCAAGGATTTTGTAGAGAATTTGGGAAAACTTCCTCATATTAAGACAAGGCCCCTGGACCCCAGCCAGACTCTTCTGCTGCGTATAAATGAAGATGTAACAGGCCCCAACTGCTACTGGCAATTATCCCATGACTGTGAGGATAGCCAGCCTTAGGATGACGCCAATACTGTGGTTGAAAATGGAGGGTGGGAATACCTCGAAGTTTTTGGTGACATTACTGAATCACTGGATAGAAGAAAATGAAGCCTGTTCTATCAGGACTTCATATAATATGATTCAATATATACTCTTATTAAGTTGGATTTAGTTATTTGCTTCTTAAAGCTAAAGCATGGTCCCACCATAGTGGTCTGTTAACAATCTCTGTTAAGTAGAAACTATACAAACAACCCCCTCAATACTTAACCGTAAATCTGAGATTGATTTCTTCCCTATTTTAACAAAGAATGAATCTTTAAAAGTTTATATTACTATACTTTTCCAATATTGAGCTAAATTTTATTAAATTTTTACTTTTACTGCATTCATTTCATTTTTTTTATTCAAAGTTCTTGCTGTAGGCTTTGTCTTGAATGTGTAAGACCATTTGCCGTGCATAGAAATCCCTGTATTCCTCTGGTAATTCAGCCAGTGCTTTTAAGGCTCTGTCCAAGATTTGTGTTGCTCTTGATGCTGCTCTAAGATCTTTGTTGCCATAGGTATCTGTTTTATCATAGCATTCAGAAGGAAGGTGCTTCCAAAAGACATTCACTCCCACTCCAAACTCTTCAGAAATTACATTATGGAACCATAAAGCTGGAGAAAGTTTTAAAAAAAACAAGTTAAAAATAAAACCTACAGTTGAAAAAAAAAAAAAACCAAAATGTCAGTGAAATATCACGAATTGCATATAGCCAATGTAAGAAATAATTCCTGTAACCAGATCCCTTCGTTAGCACACTCCCAGCTTTTAACAGAATCGTTTTAACTTTTATGAATTGCCAACCAATTTAAAGTGTCAACAGCACAACCCTGACTTTTAAAACCTTTAGGAATACCAAGTTTTCCTTTTAACTTGAAAGACATAATAAAGTTGCATTTGTTTTGTAGTTCTCTAATTTGGGGCTGTGTTTTGTATTACTTGTTTACACTTCCTGAGTCATACAACCACATCAAAGACATTTATTTTTTTGTACACAGAACGTTTCAATTATTTCAGGAGTATGTTTGACCTTTTCTGATTCAGTACAGTACTTTTGTTCTCAAAGACTTCCTGTTCAAGCTGCAATTTGTTTTTCTAACTTGTTTAAATTTACATTCATTGTACCTTCCTCAGTTTTATATTGCTAAAACAACCATTTTATATTTCTTTCAGCTTCTCTGCAACAAGTACATAAAACTACAGCAAATATTTTGGTGGTGGAGATGAGTAAAGTTTGTCATATAACTAATTAATTTTTTCATTTTCACTAGAAAGTTTGCTTTGTTTTCAATTGAGTCTATAAACATTTGTAAAATGTAAGTGCTAGAGGAATATTAAAGCAATACCACAATATAACAGATGGAGTACTAATCACAGCAAAAAATGTTTAATCTTGTGAAAGGAAGGTTTAAATTTTAGAAACAAACTTATTCTAAGAGTGCTTAAGGAAAAACAAAAGATTAAAATATTTTGATTTGCAAAATGTAGTCTTCAAACACTTTCTTCCAGAATCTTTTTTCCCTTATTCAATATGAAAAAAACAATAAACCATTGTGATAAATTTAAATCCAATGATGAGGCTTTTGTTTTTCTTTCAAAATACATGAAAATGCTTAGTATTTTTGTATTTTCCTTTTTGTTTTTTAAAAAAACTGTAAAATGAGGGAAAAGTTCAACAATGTATCTAAAGAAACAAAACCAAAAATTTAAATATAAATGTAAAAACTGGCAAGCATTGAAGACTAAAGTAGTGGCCCTAAGAATAAGTGAACACATTTGATTTTTATATATCATCAATTATATGAAGGACACTACACAAAGTCTTTTGGGGAATGCAAAAATTAGTAAGAACATGGTACCTTGTCCTCATGAAATTTACAATCTAGCCCCAAATTAGATCACCATATTTTTACTATTTACTGATATTTCAAAATTTAATTCTATCACTGAAAAGAATTATTATTGTTAATATATTTAGATATGGGAAATACAACCATACATACATTAACTCTTAATTGCTTTTAAGTAGTAATACAGATGTTAATTACATCACTAAGGTTATTGACAACATGGAAATTTCATGGACATTTAAATTAATGCCTATTTATTGAACAAAGAAATTAGATGACACTAATTTTGTATACAGAAAAATACATCACAGGTGTTAAGATTATAGTATTTTGATATTTAGTAAAAATCTAATCTGTTTCAGCTTTGAAAAATTTTTACCATTTCTCAGAAAATACTTAAGTAACCAGTTCTAAAATATGAAAATATTTTAGAAATAAAACATCTTAAAAAAAAAAACTGGGCATAATCTTTTCCCTATGAAGTATTTTAATGTTATTTAATAAAATAACTTGAGTACAACATTAAATGGTTATATATTGCTTAATCATGGGAATACATTCTGAGTAATATATCATTAGGCAATATTGTCACCTTGGGATTATCATGGAGTATACTTAACCCAAACATAGACGGTATAGCCAGCTACACATCTAAACTACATGGTACAGCCTACTGCATGCAGGATACAAGCTTGTACATCAGGTTACTACACAGAAGACCATAGGCAATTGTAACACAATGACATCTATAAATCTAAATACAATAAAATAAGGCATAAACGATAAGAAAAGATACATCTGTAGACACATTTACCATGAATGGAGCCTGCAGGACTGGTGAGTGAATGTGAAGGCCCAGGAAGTCATGTACACTACTGTAGATTCTATATATACACTCAGGCTACACTAAAGTTATGAAAAATTTCTTTAATAATAATTTTCGTTAGTTGCAGCTATTTTACTTCATAACTTTTGGGGCTTTTTTTTTTTTTTAGCTTTTTGACTCTATGATAGTAACACTTACCTTAAAATGTACTACAGTTATACAAATATATTTTCTCTAAATCCTTATTCTCTAATCTTTTTTCTATTTTCACACAGGGGCCGACATCTGCTATGATAACAATGCCTTCTTCTGGAATACCTCCTAAAGGATCTGTCCAATACGGCTTAGTAGGTAACCTTTTCTTTTAAATATAAGTAGGCGTTTACTTTAAAATAATAAAGTCTAGTATAATCATAGAAATCAGGAACATAGTAGCTTATAATAACCATCAACTATTATGTACTACATACAACTGAACTGCTATACTTTCATGCAACTTGCAGGCAGTTAAGTTTGCTTACATGGCATCCTCAAGCACGTAAGCAGTATGCTGTGCTACATTACAATGGCTACAACATCACTAGATGATCGGAAATTTTCAGCTCCACTGTAATCTTAAGAGCCACTGTTGTTATATAGTCTACTACTGACTAAATCATTTTAGGTGCTGCACTACTACATAGGTTGCTCTTGAAAAATGACTTAATTTCATAAGAGCTTGCTTACATGTACTCTAACACACATACACACACACAGAGTTGTGTGTAAAAATCATCTTGTGGGATACCTAAAACAATCACACTTTTATACTAAAAAGAAAATCACATAAAAGATGAGTGACAGAGATAGATTTTATAAACAGCACATTCCTGAAGTCTAGAAATCTTACCAGGAATGAATAACACATCTCCAGCTTCAAGGGAACATTCATACCTTCTAGCCTTGGAAAAGAGTGGATATTTAGCCAAGTCTGGGCTATCTATATTCAGCACTTCTGATTTAGAACCTGAAAAGGTCCAAAAGGGAATGATATACATTGAGTAAAGTTAGCATTTGTAAAGAAGTAATCACAAATATAAATTTAAAAATTAGTTCTTCTCTATACAATAACTACCCACACTGTGAGAACAATGACTTTATTCTCCTGAAACCTAAAAGTTTTCAATGACCCACTCCTGATATACATGTAATATAAGCTATCCTGAAAAGCTCATTCATGCAGCCTTTCATTATGTAGCCTTCAATGACCCACTCCTGACATACATGTAATATAAGCTATCCTGAAAAGCTCATTCACGCAGCCTTTCATTATGTAGCCTTCATATAGCCTTTCATTACCCTACTCAATGAAGAATATACAATTAGGAAGAAGTGTCCTAAAATGTTTTTTTCCCAAGTGAATAAAGAGATTTCTCAAAAGGAGTAACTGAGTAGGATTTAGAATACAAACTTAAAAAGAACATACCTGACAAATACAAATACTGTGCATCTCGAGGACTGAACAATGTAACACGCTTTTTTCCTGTCACTTGTATTAAGAAGTTATCCATTACCTGAAGACCAATAAGAACTTATGGATAAATAATATCTAAAATTCAAATAAGCAAAAACCAATGACATTCTAAATTATCTATAAGCAATATATATATATATAGAGAGAGAGAGTCTTTTTTAGGCAAGGTCTATGTTGCCCAAGCTGGCTCCTTGAACTTGTAATCCTCTTGCCTCAGCTTCTGAGGAGTTGAGATTATAAATATATGATACTATATTCAGCTTAAATCCTATTCTATTCTATTCTATGTATTGACAGTACTGGGGATAAGACTTGACTTGACTGACACTAGTTAAAACTTTTTATAGTTATATTCTAATCCAACAATGAAAACATCTGTATTCTATATATTACCACTCCTTTATTGAAGGTATTTCTGCAGTACTTCTTTTAAATGGGAATTAGGCAACTATTAGCCCTTGCTCCACTATTAACTACCAGTGAGGATAATTAAGCCTATCTGAGGCTTCCTTTTGTTAATACTTTTTTTACTTAGCTATCAAAGAATGCTCTAAGATCAACATTAGAGAACAGATTGAAAACAGTAATATAATACTGCTGAATTCTTAATACAAGCCTAATCGTAATTTGGTTATAGGTTATCATGATTATTAAGTTATCTGTATAGGAATATAATCTGACAGCTTTCCTTAATATGCTTTTTGATGGATCAATCTTAACTTTTCCTGTGTATGAAAGGGTGTGTTTTCTTGGTGCAGACAGTGAAAAATGTTAAAAGGCATAACCACATGATTCTCAGCTGAGGAATTAAGACAGGCACTGAAAAAGATATATTCATGATTATTCATGTATCACTACTACTGAAGCATTTCTCCTTTTAGCATTAACTCTTTGTTTATGTAAACCTTAACTACGTAATTATAACTACTATTCCTCTGGCTTATTTTTAACAAGAGCTTTATAAATTATATTCTATTACAACTCAAGGTAAAAGAGAAACTACTTAAAATTTAAAACACAGTCATAGAATATAAAAATGTATGAGTCACCACAACACTTTCTCACCATGTCATTTGTGTAAAACCTTAAAAAATTATATGCTAAAATTTCATGTCTGTCTCATTTAATTATAGATTTACTGACTATGCTAAAATCCTCCCAAGAAGTCTTTAAATGAATTACAAAATACATGTATAAAACATAAGAATAGATTTGGAACTTTTAAAAAAATTCTTACAGGAGAAGTGGCTCACACCTATAATCCCAGCTACTTGGTAGACTGAGATCAGACGGATTAAGGTTCAAGGCCAGCCCACGCACATAGTTCTTGAGACCCCATCTCCAAAATAACCAGAGCAAAATGGACTGGAGGTGTGGCTCAAGTGGTAGAGCACCTGCTTTGCAAGCAAAAGTCCTGAATTCAAACCCCAGTCCCACCATGAAGAAAATCCTTTAAGCTTGGGTACAATAGTGCATGCCTGCAATCCCAGCATTTGGGAAGCTGAGGTAGGAGGATCATGAGTTCCAGGCCAGTCTGGGCTACAGTACCAAGTTTAAGGCCAGCCTGGGATAACAGTGAAACCCTGTCTCAAAAAAACCCAGAAAAACAAAAATTAAAAATAAAAAAAACCTCTTTTGTCTTTGGAAACCTATTAGGTATTTCTTTAGCTTACTATTTCTCTATCTTGGCACCAAACTATATACAATACTAGCATTTTAAATATTTTTAAATACTTGTATGGGCACATATAATTAAGCAAATAAAATTATAACACCACCAAATAACCAAAATCAATATTACACTCATCTTGGTGCTCTAAAAATACAGCAGACATTTGATGCTCTCACGGGGTATAAATCCTAAAGCTTTTAGATACCTCCAAATTCTTACAATTGGAAATAGCTCTCCATAAGTTTCTGCTTTCTCCTAAATAACATGACCCTGGATAGCCAGAGTCATGTGTGACATTTACACATCCTCATATCACAGGCATACTTCTCACTTTAACATTTCATTTCCCCCCAATGATCTGGTAACATTTTTCATATGTCCAAAAACAAAAAAACACTTCAAAAAACTTATATGATGATGAATAAAGAACAAGATCATAGAGAAATACAAATGTGAGAAACTAACAAGGCTTTGCCATTAGCTAAATAATTCACTCCCGTTTCACTTCTTTGCAGAACACCTAGTTTCAAAATTCAAAAGTTTCAGCAAATTACACTAAAAAATCTTTAGGATAGCCTATAAAGTTGAAACCACAAATGCTAAATCTACAAATGCTAATGTTAAATCTACATATACGCAGCATACATCATAATGAGTCCAAAGTTGTAATCCAGGTGAACTAATTCGAAAGACACTGGAAAAGAACTGTTCCTCTCTGAAGAATTTGGGAAACTTAATATCTCCTTCCAATAAAGGAAACTGCTTTCTGATATCTGCAACATCCTGCATTGACAGATACATAAAAATAATTAGATAAAAATAATATCCAGAAAGAATTTTAATAATAAAGACAATATTGGCATAATGCTTACTTTACCTAAGAGGCTGCCAACAGACTACCCTATATTAAGGAAGGGGCAAAATTTTGTTCAGTGCATAAAAATACTATGTGACCATCTGCCAACACATGGTCTTTCAAATGAAGGAACAGACTATGTTAATAAGATTACAGATTCATATTTCTAAGGTCAATATGCTTCATTAAGAGGACGGTTCTTCCTACTTTAAGCAAGATTTATACAACTGTCATTTACTCTAGCATAGCCAAATTTTGGCTCTGAATACATGTTAAAGCTTAGATAATGAATCCTTCAGGATTTTATAATTATTTTGGATTATTATTGTATTAGCTGAGTGATTATCTGTAAAATATATCATAGAAGAAATTTCTTATTGTGTAGAAATTAAATGACTTAAACACTAAAATTCTATATTCCTCTCTAAAAACTAAGTAATCAACTTTTAATAATCTTACTTCTTATTCAGGGGCATAAGTCATTGAGAAAAGAATATGAGGATGAAACAGGTGATATTTCAGTCACTAAGTATAAAAAATTACACTGCCAGTTAACACATATACACCCATTTAGGTTTTAAGCAACTATTTTAGATACACAATTCTTACCTTTCTAGGGTCTTCTCCAAGTGACCGTAAATAATATTTCTCATCCTTGAAATATTCCAAAGAAAAATAACATCAGTATTCATTAACAAATATTAGGAAGTAAAGAAGGAAGGAACTAAATCTTAAAATCTGATCCAGTTAATTCACTTTCTAAAAAGTTCGATTATCTTACCTTTTCTACTAATGCTCTCTGGTGGCCAGAAGGAAGAAATGTGTCTATCCATTGCTTATAATATTGACTGGATCCACAGAACTTTAAGTAAAATAAATTCTAACAGCATAGCCATACCTAAAGCCACAATGATTAATTTAGACTTCAAACTCCAAATTATTAAGACTCTCTGAACAATGCTTTAATAAAAGGATTCTCTTTTGTATAGGGCACATGATCTGAAAACTTTGTTGAAGGTCAACAAACTTAACATAATACAAACATAAACTAAAAAAGAAATAAGATACCTTAAACTTTTAATAATTTTTCTGAAAATTTAGAACATATTTTATCAAGTTGTCCGACAACATAAATTCTCTAGCCAAATCTTTGAGAGTCAGCTCATGTGTGAGTTAGAAATGTATGAATACTTTTAAAAATTACCATTTACACTTCACTGGGTAGCTAAGTAGAGAACTGTCTGAATTATAAAATACCCACTGTAGGACTGGGGGTATAACTCAGTGGGAGAGTCCTTTCCAAGCAGTTCCATTTCTAGCATTACAAAAATGACAACAAAAAACATTCACTGCTTCCTGAATTTCCTGTGAGAATTAGAGAACTGAGATATACGAGGTCAAGTACACAGCAATCCAACTCCAGAATTATGACTCTTTGAAAATCAATATGGACCATCATGACACAAACTTCAAAACCTATCTCATTTATCTTAAAACATATTATAAATCTGTGATCCTCAGTTTAGTTCAACTCTCAGCTCGTAGTGCCATATCAAAGAGGTTGTATAAGTTTATTACTGGCTAAATAGGTTTTGAAGTATGTTCTTCAAAATTCTAATAGTTTTCTCTCAGTGCTAATGTTTCAGGATTTAAAAAACAAATTCACACAGCAGAGATGCACTGCTCAGACTCCCCTTCAAGAAAGGACTCATTGTTTAACTGCAAGGAGTATAATTAACTTGGGACTGCCAGGTGTTAACGTCTTGGGCTCACCTCAGCATCTGAGCTAACATTATAGCTCTTCCTTGGGAACCAATTACTGAGTAATAAGGTCAAAGGCTTAGACACGCCACCCATGCAGAACTCCTCTGACGGAACAGTCTTTGCTCAGGGTTCCACACTGAACTGGCAGAGACTGTTAGGTCTCATGGCTCCCTACCCAATCCTGCTTCCTCCCCTCTCCTTCCACAGGCATCACTCCCTGATGCACACCCAATTCCAGCTCAGGTCGGCCTTCCACATGGTGAAACTGACAGTCCATGTTTATCTCGCTTACATACTTTCTGTAATTCCATAATCTTTAGACTTAATCCAGTATCTAGTCTCTCTTCCCCTCTCCTTCCCTTCTTTCTTTCTTTTTCTTTCTTTTTTTTTTGAGATAAGGTCTCGGGCTGGTGGAATGGCTCAAGTGGTACAGCACCTGCCTACCTGAGTTCAAACCCCAGTACCACCAAAAAATTAAAAAATTTAAAAATGAGATAAGGTCTCACTATGTATCTCAGGCTGGCCTAGAACTAAAAATCCTGCTTCAGCCTGTCAGGCACTGGGATTACAGGTATGTATCACCACATCTGGCTGGCTTGCTTTTGGCAATGGTAGGTATTAAACCCAGGACCTTATACATGATAGGCAAACACTCTATCACTAAGCTATATCCCCAGCCCTTCTATTTCTTTTACTTCGTATTTCATGGTTATTTAAATCTGTGACAGTCATTACTCTCAGACAGGAAAGTGCCAACGGGCAACTTCAAAGCATGGCTATGAAGGTTAAGACAGTCCTCAGGTACAGCTAATGGGAATCAGTTTTAAAAGACATTCTAATCATCAAACAGAATTGCAGACCTCCAGAGTTTGTAGGGATCTTGACGGTGATCCACTATAACCACTAGCTGATCAGAGAATCCTAAAAATGCAAACCTTTTAAACCAAACTTCCCGGCCCATTCGGCTCAAACACACAACGCTTTATTCAAAGCTTTAAAAGTAGTTTATTTTGAAATATGGTTTTGCAATAACAAGGTAAATTTATAAAAATGCATTCATAAATAATCCTCAATGCTTTATCTTAAGATACTTAAGCTGAATCATTTAAAGCTAGACTGTAAGAATTCTTCTGATTTAATCTTGAGCAAATGTTATAGCAAATACACACAAATCAGATAACTGACAAAATATGGAAACAATGTAATAGTAAGATATGAAAATAAGTTCTCAATTAGCATTTAAATTTGGTAATCAGACCAAAGCATTTTAAAAGGAATCAGCATTAATAACATTTACTAAATAATTTCTATGTGTTAGGTACACTGCTAAGTACTTTACAGATTTTATTTAGTTAATCCTCACAAAAACTTCATGAACTAGACTGTCATTATCTCCATTTTATAGATGAGTATACTTAATTTCAGTCATATACAGTATGGCTAAAATTTGAGAGCTAATAGATGGCAGAGCTAGAATCTGTGGTATATGTGACCAAATCTTAAGAATGGCTATCTGAGGCAATAGCTTTTATATCTAATGATCTTTTATTAGACAATCCATTTAGCATATATATGGATATTGATGCTTTCCAAAGAACATTAAAAGTAATTACCTCTGAAATAAAAAATTCTTTATGTTTTTCTTCAGCTGCTCTCTGGACCAACTTGTCAAAAGGTAAAGTTCTGAAATAACCATAAAAGAATGCTTACACTTAATAGTAACAGACCAATTAGTAGTAATATAACCACCATACATATAGGCTATTGCAGTTGAATATATGCTTTTCAATATCCATAGTTGTTATGACCTATTATGTAGAATTCTGAATTTTTAAAATTCATTTAGTAGAATGTTATTTTGGAATTAAAGATTTTTATTTTTAATTCCTAATTTTTACTCTTTTGAAAATACACAAAAACATTTATTTAATCCATTTTGTATACCTTTTGGCATATTATATGAAGAGAAGATGCTTTTTCCCCCAAATCTACTTAGTTTTCCCTCTATCACTTCCTGATAATTCCATCTCTTTCCCCTCGGTTCACTGCAAAGCAGAGTGAAAAACAGAGGCTTTGAAGGCAGACGCCTGGATTCAAGGCTTAGCTTTATCATTTCCTGGACATGTAAGCTTAGACAGTGACTTGCCCTCTCACTAGTTTCTCCTCTTCTAGAGGGTTCTCAAATGCCTGCTCAACATGCTGTTTGTTATCTCAGATAATATGTAAAGCTCTTAACATAATATTTGACATAAAATAACCAGAAAACAGAAGTTTTTAATATATGATATATGCATGATCTATTGTGCACTATTTCTGGGTGGTCTTTGTGTATTGACTGCTCTGTATACTATTATATTCCTAGCATTCTCTTATTTTAAATAGGCTTTGCTTATATAGTATAAGTAATAAGTATAACATTACTTATAACATTTATTCAATCTTTATACAGCTTTATTTTTTAAAAAGTAGTTATTGCCTCTTACTCTAGGTAAATTTCAGAATGATTATTCAGAAGGGAAATTCTTGTGATTTTGGGAAGAATTTCATTGAAACTATAAATTAATTTAGCAAATTAAGGCAACTTAATTTACTACCCTCCCCCTGCCACCACTGCCCTCCCCTTAACAATGATAATGTACCCTTTAGCAGCATGAAACTGATCATCAACATTGAAAACGCTTCAGTGTCAGCTCCCCATTTTGGGAAGGCTGCTTTACAAAATCAAGATCAGAACTGATGATAAACAGTAAGAGGAAGATGATGACAAAATTGCACGAAGCAATAGGTTGAAGCAGCAAAGCACAGTGTATGAGATTTAGATTTTTTTTATATTAAATCTATGACTAGAAGATATCAACATCTTTTTACTACCTGAGGTTCTTTTGTCAATAGTATCCTAACTCCAAGGAATAGTGAGCGCTAATAGGAAAAATATAAAAGTTAATACTTGTTACTGCATCCACCTTCAGATATTTGATAAAAGAAAAAAAAAAGCAGCCTTAAAGTGAAGTGATTATGACATATGTGTCTGTAGGATTAATTACTGTCTAGTATCTCTGGCTTAAATAGCTCCCCTCATCTTTGCTGCTGCCTAGTAAATGATAAAAAGAACTAAACCTTGTTCCTTTTTTTTCTTGCAAATAAAACTGTAACCTTGCAACTTTTTAGTAGCTTAATGAAAGGCTTTGAGAAAGCTGGAGTAGAAACTATTATATAATATTTGAGTTTGAAAAACAAATTTTGACAAGTTTAAAAGACATGACAAAACATCAAGGCAATTCAAGATGAAGTTTCAATACTCATTAATTATGGCATTAGACACTGACAAGTAAACATCAGCTGAAAAATACTCATCACTCCAACACTTTCTTGATTGAATAAAAAATGAAAAGTTCTTACACTTGGAAAAGCCTTATGGCAATTAGATTTAATTTATGGCCTATCAAAATCCAAAACCATAATAGTGAATATTCAAAGGATTGAAAACTGGGAAGTGCTTTGGCAGCTGCTATATGAGCTTGGAAAACTCTAATGAGAAAGGAATGGCCCGGACACTAGAAACTCTGTTTAACTCATCTATAAACGGAAGTCTTTTGTTAACTACATGGTCTTTCAATTGGTTTAATTTGCTGAGAACTGCATGTGCTTAGAATTTAAAAGTTGTTTGTTTTTTAATTTAACATTTTGAATGAATCTCATGGGAATAAATAGCATTGAAATTTGCAAGATGACATTTAAAGCTTTCAAGTTTAAACATTTAGCAGCTTTTGACTTATCTCTTATTTTTAAGAGATTCACAGCATAAAATAACCATAAGAAATTAAAGGTATTTAAGGTTATTTCATCAAAAGAAAAGATTAAGCATAATTTTTTAAAGTTATTCAAGTTGATGAAAGATCACACCAAACATACATTGTCCTATATATCTGAAGAGGACACAAACAGAAAACAGGCATTTTAGAAAATTTCCTGCACTAGGTAAGATACTAAAGTGGTAGGATCAATCAACTAATCAAGCATTCTGTTGAATACAGCACACTCAACTTTAGATGTAATCTAACTCTAGTTATTGAAATTTTCTCTTCTGTGACTCCAAAGGGATTGGTTATACACCCTGTTTTTAGAAGTCTTTAGAAATGTCATTTTATAAACAATTATATAAACTCAGAATTCTTATCTTTTAAAAGCCATTCTTTAAAAAATCATTACACTATTCCACAACTACATAAACTAGAAAATGTTGAAATAGCATGTGGTCTTTGCATAATACTGTAAAAATATTTTTAAAGTTTTAAAAAGTTATTTGTGTCCCGAGAGTAAACCTCAGAAAAAAATACCTATATACAAAGTTCTTACTAATGAAGTCCATCTGTGGAACTGCAGCAACATGAATTTTTACTTCTTTTGTCCCTCCAACTTGGCTTAGATAATCCACTGTCCATTTGCTTGTACATGACCCCAAATCAATTCCTTCCAACACAAGAGGTTTTCTCTGTGATGAAAAAACATAACAAAACATTTTGTGAAAACCAGTAACATATCAGGAGCTGTATTTGGTAAGAGAGGGGTAAGCTTCATCTTGATGCCAAGATGTTCAAACTGAAAGCTTTTGACAGTTTATGAAATAACTAAAATGGACCTGCATTATTTGCCTAGAACAAATTTTTAAGATTAGAAAAACAAAACAGCAGCAGCATCAATAGATAAGAGAAATCCAAATATTATTTTCATGTTATTTGATAAAATGATTAAAATTTGTAAATTAAAAACATTAATTTTGATAACATTCCAAACTTCTGAAACAAGATGTAAGAACATTACAAAGAATTTCCATATATCCTCTACCCCGATTCACCAACTGTTAAATTTTGTCCTATTTGCTTCATCATTTGCTCTTTAGTATTTAGAGAGGGGTATGTTATTAAACCTAATTTTTTAAAAATTCAAGGTTAAATTGCTACATCATGCCCCATTAAAGACTTGAGTATATTTTCTAAAACAAAGACATTCTCTTACATAACCAGAGTAATTATCAAAATTACATTTCACACTGACATAACACTATTATGTAATCCACAGTACATATTCAGATTTCCCTAATTGTCCCAATAATTTCCTTTGGAGTTTACTTCTTTTCCTGGCCCAGAACTCAGCCTGAGATGCCACATTGTGGCATGTTGCCACATGTCTCCACGTCTCTTTTAATCTGGAACAGTTCCTCAAACATTCATTGTCTTCCATGACCTTGACATTTTTAAAGCAGACAGGCCAGTTATTTTGCTGAATGCACTTCAATTTGGGTTTATCACAAGTTTCTTTACAGTCAGATTCAGGCTATGCATTTTGAGGAAGGAATGTACAGGTGGCCCCTGAATATTATGCCCCATCATTTGTGATGCTAATTTTGATCTCATAGTTATTCTGGCCTGAATCAAGTACTACTATGATGAATGGAAAATATATTTGTGTTTAACTCCATGATTTCTTCTACACTTATGAGTTGGCATAATATCAAGTGAGCTCTGACTTCTCCATGTTATTCTCTGGGTAATAACCTATTGATGTTATTTTGTTTGTTTTGAGACAGAGCCCTATTCTGTGACCCAGGCTAACTTCCAAGTCTTGATCCTCCTGCTTTTTATATAAAAAAAGAATCCTTTATATATGTATTTTGCAACTATTTCTCCCAGTTTGATTTTTGTCTTTCAATTTTTGTTAGTGTTAGTCATGCACTTTTCCAATAGTCAAACTTCAATCTTTCATTACACCTGAAGTTTGTCTTAGTTAGAAAGGTTTCCTATAGGCCTAGATTATAAAGGAATTCACCCATATTTTCTTCTAGTACTTGTATAATTTCATTTCTTTACATTTTTTGACCTACTTGTTTATTATTGCACATGGCATAAGAGAGAAATCTAATTTTATCATTTTCTAGCATGCAGATGATTATTTTAGCATCTTAGCACCACTAGAACAACAAAACTACCATGTGTGATACGATAATGGTAGATACATGTAATGAAACTGTCTAAACCCACGGAATGTACACCAAGAATGAGTGGCCTCATCAACTGTGATAAATGTACCACTCTGGGAGGGAATGTTGGTAACAGAGGAGACTATATGTGTGTGGGTACAGGAAGTATATGAAAAAAAACTCTACCTTCAACCCGATTTTGCCTTGAAACTAGAACTGCTCTTTAAAAAAAAAAAAAAAAAAGGTCAATTATTAAAAAGTCAGTTTTCCCCAAGTGGTTTTTGAATGTCATATTCATTACATGTTAAATTTCCACATGAATGGAATTTCTGAATATATATATTGCAGGACTTTGTATTCTCTTTCCTATGGTCTGTTTATCGATGCACCTGTACCATACACAGTGTTAATAGTTTTTAGATGTTAAAAGAAATCGGATAGTACTATGCTCACTCATATTTTCTTTTTTTATTGTTTCCAGGTTGAGTCTTTTTTCTTATAATTTTATTAAGTTCTAGCTTTACTGCATTATAACTAACCACAAAACGTTGTCATGTTCTACTTTATGAAACTTAGAGATGCTTCCTTTGAGACATATTATGTCTGAACTGGAATGACTAAGTTATAAAATACCTTTTGCTATGCATCTTACAAAGCACTTCCAAATACATCATGCAGTCTTCACAACACTGCAGTGAAGTGGAGGCACTGCATGACTAACACATCCTGACATGGAGGGCTGAGGGAAGGCAGAACCACCCATGCAGCACTAGTTCCAAAAATAAACGAAGGCTTGAATCCTCTCCGGTAGGTTGAGGATTCAAACAAACAAACAAAAAACCCTCATCCCTGACTTGTAATCTTCAGCTCCATGACTACTCTTACAAATGTAAACATCAAGGAACAAAATTGCTAGTTTTTTTTTTTTTTTTTGTCTTACTTTAAACGAACTTACTGTACCTCGGGGGTTTTTTTCCCCCTTAAATGTCTGCTCTTTACAGTTTTCCTTAAGTACTTTGAGTTCTTCAAGTAAAAATAAAACATAAAACTTTTATCTCCTTAATATTTCTGTGAATTTTCTTGTAAAGAACGAAGGGACTCCAAAGTCTGGACTACAATCCAGGTTAGAATTCAAGACCAAGGAATTTTCCCGGGGGGTTGGGGGTTCATTGCGCTCCTTGTTGTTTCACTGGGGCGAAAAGCTGGGGGGGGGGGTCCGCCATCCGCGCTTAGCTTTAGGAAACCTGCAGAAGAGGAGCGCGCGCGGGGCCACAGGAACCGCGGACGTCTTAACAGGGCTCTCGGCAAGGCCTTTCTTTGGAGGGAATTAAAAGCTTACGCAAAATCCTTCTCGCTCCCAGCTCTACGGGGTCACCTGCTCCCCAGAAATGTGGATCTCTTTTCTCAGGAATTTTTAACACACGAGCCAGGCGACAAGGCCCTTGCGCCGTCTCCTCACCCTCCTTGCCCCGCTCCAAACGGGGAGACGACAGGGAGTTATGGACGTGTCTCTTCGGGCCTCACCTGTGGGTAGAGGTGCTGCATGAACCGTTCCCGCGAAACGCCCTCGAGCCGGGGTACCGGGAAGCGCTGCCCCGCCATGGATGCTCACGCTTGTGGCCTCCCGCTAGGGCCTCGGAACATCGGCTCCACCGAGTCCGTCAGCATCGGATCCCCTCAGAAACACGACCCGGGAAGAAAAGGTCCGGGAGGACGGCGGACGCCAGAGGGCGGCTGGCTCTGAGCGCGGGTGGGGAGCCGAAGGGCCGCTGCTTGGGCTGCGTGCTATCGGACCGGGGTGGGCGGACTCACCAGAGGTGGCAGCAAACAGCCAGCTTTGCTTCTAGTGCGTATCTTTCTCCAAACGAAGCGGTTTTCCCCCCGGCTTCCTTTCGATACAGCACAGGCATGTGCTAGGGTGAGAGGGCACAAACATGGCGCTGGCCGCCCGTCTCCTACCCCGTCCGCTGTTCTCTCGGCCGCCGCCCGGCGGGGCCGCCCGACTGCGGGCTCCCGGTGCCACCGAGGTGAGGCTGTCGTTGGCCGGACTTTGCTGCTTGTGCCGCCGCCGCCTCGGCTCAGGAGCGGTCCCCTTTACTCGCGGCGGTTGGACCTCGGCGGCCCCGGCGCTCAGGGCGCGGAGGCCCCGGCGGCCCTCGCTCAGCCGCCCGGGACTCCCTGCAGCCCTCGCTGCTTTCCCCGCTTCTCCTCCGCGCAGCTACAGCACGGAAGAGCAGCCCCAGCCGCGCCAGAAAACCAAGATGATCATTCTGGGGTTCTCCAATCCCGTCAGCTGGGTCCGGACTCGAATTTACGCCTTCCTTATCTGGGCCTATTTCGACAAAGAGTTCAGCATCGCCGAGTTCTCTGAGGGGGCGAAGCAGGTTTGTTTGCCTCCCTAGTGGGCCTGACCACCTCTCATGCGTTCAGCTGCTACCTGCACAAGTGTGTAGCCGTGAGGTGGCTTCACCAGTCGCCTCGTAAAGTGAGCTAGGTCCTGGTGTGTTTGCATGGTCGCCGAAGGGGAGGGGTTCCATTAAGAGACCGGGGTGAAGGACCCCTTGTGCTTTTCATTCTGCACGGGTTGTGAGTCAGAGAGAAAAAGATTCAAAGCCCGTTTCTGCCACTTTAAAGCTATTCAACCTTTTTTTTTTCTGGGCGTGACTTTCCAAGTCTGAAAACGGGAAGGATAATGCCTGGGACATAGTAGACACACCATAAATATGTGTTGAATAAATCGTGTGGATAAGATATGATGAGGAATGAGATAACATTTCCAAAGTACTATATTTCGCCTTGGGTAGAAAGGTAGAACTTCTTGACAGCACATTGACAGCACTCCATTGCCCCTCTCTCTCCCTTATACCCCTTGAGGGAGAACCCAGACATGAGCAGTTTTACCCTTTCAGAGACTGTGTGGTTGCTGATAAATACCCAACATCCAGCACACAGGATGTTCTCAGAATATAGGGTTATGAATTCTCACTTTTGTCCGTTGTGACCCTCTTTCTGAATGGCGGTAGACCTTATCCTTGTCACATAATGGCCACCTTGAGTCCTAAGATTATCTGCAGATTTCGTGTGTGTAGCATGTTCTTGGCGAGTCTGTCATTCCTAAACGTTGCAGAACTATTGATAAGCAATTGAATTCGTAGTTTATTTCCTAGTTGATAGTCGTATAAACTTTATAATCATACCATCGGTGTAATCATTTTACAGTACTGACTATGCTGTATTGTTATTTTTACCCCTGATTTAGTTCAGATTATTTCTACAATCACATATTTATGCGATCCATCAATTATAAATGGAGTGTTTTCAACTTTATGTAATCAGTGTCAGTATTTATGTATCAGTGTCAGTATTAACTTGTCAGTATTACTTTCTTGACTACTTGATGTTTATAAAAAATTAAAAAAGCAAAAGCCCTTGACTAACATAATGCCTTACTCAACACTATGACGAAGGGGTAAACCTCTGTCCATGTTAGTTTTCAGTGTCAGTTGTGAATACAGGGATAAGTTGGTGTTACCCTACTACTGTTTTTCCCAGGGGTGACATGAGCATGTTCACCTCATAATACATATGGGACTGTACTAGTACATTTATGTGTTGGTAAGGAGTGGAAATCATCTCCCTATCATAAGCAGGTATCAGGCCTTAGTCCCTGTTGTCACTGTACACACAGGAAGTTGGAGCACTTTTGGAGTTGCTCTACTGATCTTGTTAGCTCTTTTAACCCCCTTCCTTGCTATCAAACTGTATATCCATTCCATCATCAAGTCTTTATGAACTTTTGCTTTATCTGAGTTGTGTTGTTGTTGTTCAGTTTAACCATTCTGACTTCCAAAAAGAATGTCTGAAGTCAGCTGTAGCAAATATTTCATAGTTTTCTTAAATGCATGGTTACTGAACATACCATTCAGATCAAGAAACTCAGTTCTTCAACCCCTAAGACAATATGTACGTTTTTGTAAAAGGATATTGCCATAAAAACCTCCCTGACTGTCATGATGCAACAATACCTTCCAATTCTAGAGCTTGGGAAAAATCTGGTACAAAATCAGGTAATTCTCCTCTCAGTTGACTTCATGTTCCCCCTTTCTATAGACTAGTCTCCTTAGGAATAATATGTTATCTTGTGTTGTGAATATCAGTTAGGTCATGCCCATTAAGATTTTTAATTTTTAATCATACAACATGAAATAGAAAAACACTCTTTCTAGTCTAATCCTCCTTTACAAGTAATGAAACCAAGTTCCAGAAAGGTTAATGATTGACTCAAGGATGCATAGCTAATACTGTCCTGTTACTCACTCTTCAAGCAGTCTTGGTCTTCCAGAGTCATTGGAGATTGAGTTGGTTACATATAGTCTAAGCAAGCATTATCATGTGAACTAGGGAAATGGGTGACAGTACCAGTGCTCTACAGGTACTATTTATTTTTGATAAGCACATATGACATGGTATCTTCACTGTTACTGCTATCAAGCCATAGACTGTTTTCTTATGTCTTTCTTGTACATCTTAGCCTTTCCTATGAAAAAGAAGGCTATTTCTAGAAACCTCTGGAGGTTAGATGCTTGTGTCAGCAGGACCTTATTAGAAAGGGCAGCTTTCTAATTGTTCATTATTAGTTTTTAGAATAATTTGCTCAAGTGTGATTTTCTTGGTCACACAAACTAGAGTCTAATGGTTCGGTTTCATCGTGATGGTCATTTCTTTTGCCTAAATTATCACTCATCTTCCACGTGACAGCTTACCAAAATAAAGAATCTCTAAACCTTGAGTGTCTCTAAAATGTTTACAAAGAGATCTTGAATCCTTTAGGATATGTACTTTTTCTCAAAATTAAACTCAATCATTCTACTGATTTTCTAGGGCTGTTACACCGTGGTACCACATACTGGGTGGCTTATACAATGCAGTTTCAGTGTCAAGGTATCAGAAGGGTTGGTTCCTCCTGAGGTCACTCTCCTTGTCTTACAGCTGACTGTTCTTGCTATGTATTTGCATGGTCGTTCCACTACATTTGTTTGGGTCCCTGGCATCTTTATTTATGTCCACTTTTCCTCCTCTCATAAGGGCATAGTCAGATTGAAGTAGGACCAACTGTAACAGCCTCATTTTAACTTAATCACTTCTTTAAAGGCCCTATTTCCAACTATAGTTATAACCCAAGACAGTTTTAACATATGAGTGTTGAGGGGCACAATTCAGCTCATAATTATGCACTATCTTCTGTCTGATATACCTGTTGATCTCCTTTCTCTTGCCAGTTCTTCAGATTTCAGCTTAATATTGCTTCCTTTAGGAAGTCTTCTGTCTGGTCCTCCCAGATGAGGTTAGATGACTTTTCAGTATGCTCCCAAGTCATCTTCCTGTTCTTACCCCTGCCATAATGCTTAAACTTGCTAACTATCTCCTTCCCTTGAAGAACTAAAAACCCCTAAAGGACATGTAGGGAATTAATTTACATTTCTCATTGCTAGGCACATGGAGAGGTGCAGCCCACTTCCACCTTCCAGAATGAGATCTTATACTTCAAAGTTGGGATCCACTGTTTTAGACTGTAAACTTGTTCTCTCTTCTCCCATTTACCCAAACCTACCTTATCTTCTTTGACGAGGTTCAGACTGCAATCTAGATCTCCAGACTCTTGATACAGTCTAGAGTATCCTGTTTTCCAACTGCTATCTATGCATGATTAAGAGGTGGGTTTTATAATAGTTAAATGGTTGTTTATCATTACTTTAAAAATTTATGCATGGCAGGATTTTTATTGAGGCATCTAGTGTGTACACCACAGTATCATTCCTTGGGTCCTGAGAGTAGATACGTAATTAGCAGTTGGCTCACTTCTATGTATGTGGGGATGCCATTTAAGAAAAGTCAACCAACCTTGAAGGAGACATACCTAACATTGTTATATTAGTATTTGACATTATTTATCACCTTTATGATAAAATAGTCTTTGTTGCTCTTAGCTATTAAATATGAAAATTGTGGTATTTTGCATGATATTTTGAAATAATAATTGTTACCCTCCCCCTACTACTTTTTTCAAGGCTTTTGCTCATGTATCCAAGTTGCTGTCACAGTGTAAATTTGATCTATTGGAAGAACTTGTGACCAAAGAGGTGAAGTATGCTTTTAATTTTTCTTTAAAAATAAATGTATGGTTCTCTTGCAATAAAATATTACAGTCTTATTTATGCTTTGAGTCATACAAAAGCAGGAATAATTCCTTCTACTTACAGGCATAACTAATTAAACATGATGTCTTTCTGTTGCTTTTTAGTAATTATCTAGTTGAATAATTAGATGCCTTTAAACCTTGCTTTTAAGGATAAGTTGATATGCTACTAAATTTGAAGACAGATTTAGAAAAATTCATTCCACAGTGAAGATGACTTTTTGAAATACTTTTAGAAGATGAATTGGTAAACTGATGTTTGCTTTTTCTAAACAGGTACTACATGTGCTAAAAGAAAAGGTTACTTCTCTACCTGATAATCATAAAAATGCTCTTGCTGCTGATATAGATGAAATTGTTTATACGTCGGCAGGAGACATCTCCATTTACTATGATGAGAAAGGTAATGTTGGACCACAGATAAGCTTTAAGTGATCCATAATTGTCCAGATAAGCTAAAGTAGTGAGTAATCACAAAATAGTAGAGTTTTGTCTGTAAAAGTAGATATTTATAGAACTTAGAAGAGAACATATTCAGTGTTTAAATATCTAGCTCTGAAAGAGTTGAGATATGATCATCTTTCTACTGCCTTTTCCGGCTACTGTCTAGTCAACACTTACATTGATGAAAATGGTCCATTTAGGACAAACTGCTCCCCATGTCTCAAATTGAAGATGTATATATTTCAGATTTTCTAACTAGATGGAAACAAGCATTTTAAATTTCTAGCTGCATGTATAGAAGGACTAAAGTATAAGAGAAAATCAAAAGTAGATAATATTAGCTAAACAAAGATACGAAAAAAATTAACCGTAGACCTCCAGGATGGGATTTGCAAATAGTGAAAAAAAACTGGAAGGAATTTTAGTGGTCATCTGGTTCTTTTCCTTGTTCAATGCTTGCATTTCCCATTTCCCCTATAGCATTCCCAAAAATTCTGTGACAGATTAATTCCTTCACATATTGGCATTTGTATTATGTGCCTGGCACACAAGTCTAGCCTCTGCACATATACTTCCCAAAGCAGTAATGGTATATGATTCTTAATGATTAGAAATTTCTTCATGCACAAGTTAATTTGAAATATTTGTAAATATTTTCTTCAGATTCCATTTTAGCATTGTGGTTTCTAACTGATTTTTATATAGGATGTTATGAGAATTACAAGGCACAGCAGAATATATTAGAATAGAAAAGAAACCTTTTGGGCAATTGGTTTTAATTGCTTGGTAAAAAATGTAGGTTTTCCACCTCACTTTTGTCTTGATAATGGTTATCTGCCATAGATTATTATAAATTTAGAAAATGCTATAAATTGAGAATAATCCATGCAGTACACTTAAAGGATGTGCTCAATGATTAGTAACTTTATTATTGAGATACAGGGAAGAGGGCATTAACTCTAAGAAAATTTTTAAAAAATATTATTAAGACAGATATCTTAAATTTCACCAGAGTATGAACAGTCTGCAACAAGTCTATAATTACTGCTAGCTTCTCATTTTGTTTTGGATATATGGATGATAAGTTATTGTGATTTGTATAGCTTCTCATTTTGTTTTGGATATATGGATGATAGATTATTGTGATTTGTATTTGTATATGTGTGTGTATGTTTTTTCTCTAAGGAAGGAAGTTTGTTAACATCCTGATGTGCTTTTGGTATCTAACCAGTGCCAACATCCCCAGTGAAACTTTGAAGGGAGCCAGTGTATTCCAGGTTAAGTTGGGGGATCAGAACGTGGAAACTAAACAACTTCTTAGTGCAAGCTATGAGTAAGTGTAATCATGTGCCATTGTTTCCTTTCTTTAGAAAATGGAAGGTACTATGAAGGTACTAAAAACTAAAGGGAGCTTTAGGAAGAAAAGGAACAAAATTTGACACATTATTTATGAAGAAAAAAGTTATAAAGACACACTGATTACAAAACACTTTTAACAGGAGTGTTCAAAAATTAGAAAGATGTAATGTTGTAAGTTAATCAATGTCTCAACTCTCACTGAGTAACAAACCACCCCCGAAAAGAAGTGGTTTCAAATAGCCGTTCATTTTTCCTGTGATTTCACTGCTCAGGAACGATGGGAAGCTCAGCTGTGGGGTTATCTCTGCTTCACCTGTTATCTGCTGGGGTGGCAGGGGTAGGAGGATTCATTTCTATGACAATTTCTTCTCTCGGGTGTGGCACCTTGGTGCTTCTTGGCTTCACCATACCATCTCATTCTCCATGACCTCTTTGTGGCTTGGGCTTATGGTAGTTTTAGGCTCCTGGGAGTGGTGGAGTGGCTCAACTGGTGGAGTGCCTGCCTAGACTCTTTTACTTAGTGATTGAATTCCAAGAGACAGGAAATGGAAACTGCTAGACTAGGGAAGGGATATACCCAGAGTTAAAACATTTCTGCCACAGATCACAGGTCATAGCAGTAACAGAAGCTGCACAGTTTAAAGGGTCTGAAGAGACCTACCACTTTGGAGCAGTGAACAGTAAGGCCACATTGCAGAAGAACATATGGGATAGGACATACCAATACAGCTATCTTTGGAAATAAAGATGTGCCAAAATTGGCATGTGAGCTATTCATTCACTGAACATTTATTGGTCATCTCCGTAAGCCAAGTACTCCAGTAGGGGTTCAGATGCAAAATTGAACTGATAGTTCCCTTAAGGAGATACTTCTAGTAGTAAGTTCACAAAATATTTAAAAGAGATATATGTGTTTGTGCTAATAAAATTTGTAACAGTGAACAACTAGAATAAGTCAGTAGAGACATATTTATTTAAAAGAGGATATTGGTAATATTTTACCAAAGTTGTACAAATTTGCTTTAAAATAATGAACAAATCTCAAAAATGTTCTAAGAAAGAAAATGTATTGTTTTGCTAAAGTATATAAAAAAATTACATCCTCACTTTTTAACTTTTCTCAAAAGAAATGCGGATTTTTTTAATGCTTTGGTTGTAATTAATCAGAATATTCCATATACTTAAAGACTTATTTGACTTAAGTCTACCAAATTGTCTCTTTTTTAAGGCATTTTTATGATTAAGGATCAATGTCATCAATACTAAACTTTGTTTTTTCTGAAATTCTTTCCTAAGACAACAAGCATCTTAAAAACACTGATATTTTAAAGATTGATTTAATAGTATATAAACCAAATTCTAGTATTTATTTCTAAATTGGTAACAGTGTTATTTGAAAAACAGCTTTTCCTGTATGCTAGATTGAATATTTAAAGTGCTGTTGCATAACCACCGTCCAGTTTATTTCTGTTTATACTAGGTATGTGTTTTAGCTGATATAGCTAGAATAATATCCAAGTTTCTTTCAAGGGCTGGCAGATGCTGAATGTATAGACTATACTTCAATTTTTAGGGTATATTTTTATGATTGAATTGATATGGTAAACTTTGTTCTGATTTAGCATTAACCATTAAAGTAGCTGATGTTAAAAACTGCCTCTACTACACATTTACAAGTTATGCAGTTATTTAAGAAGTTGTTGGGCTGTTGTAAGATTCACATTATTTATAATGTTTTTCCTAGATTTCAGAGGGAGTTTACACAAGGAGTAAAGCCTGATTGGACCATTGCACGGATTGAACACTCAAAGTTACTAGAATAATCTTTCTTGGGAAAATCAGCTTATGGACTTTTAGTGAAAAACTAAGGAAGAAAAAGTTTTGGATCATTTGATCTTCACTTAAGTCTTTAGATTACTTTTGTATTTTGAAATATACCTTGTAGTATATTAGCATGATACAATAAAGCATTTCCCACAGATTGTTACTATTCTTTAAAAGAGGTCAAAGTAAAAAAAACAACAAAAAAAAACTATACCACCAAATTGGTGTCATTTTGGTATTGTTTGTGATGTTTTATATATATATATATATATATATATATATATATATATATATATGCACGAACTAATTTTATAGATACAGTAAGGTACTGAAACTACTTATATCTCTAAATTAATAGTCCTTATATATTTTATCATGACCAACACATTTATACCATTAAACCAAGAATACATAAAATTCATTTTAAAAGTCTTGCTGTGTGATACTTTTTGCTACTATCTAGATAAGAAGGATTGAATAGAATTATAGCAGATTAGCCTCTGTAGAACTAAAGAGAACTTGAAGCATACTAAAACACAAAGTAGGGGAGGGAAACCCAAAACAGAACAATGCCTTAGCCACCTGTGGGAAAATAACAGTTGTTCTAACATAACTTGCATTTGGAGTCCTAGAAGTTGGAGTAGGTAGGTAAAGAATATGTTAAGAAAAAATGGCTGAAATTTTTCCTAATTGATGAAAACTATAAACCCACAGATGCAAGAAAATCACCAAGCATGGTAACACATTTTTTAAAATCTCATCAAGTTATATCATAATGAAACTGCCAAAATCCAGACAAAATTGTAAAAATAGTTGGGATGGTTAAAAAAAAAAAATTCAGTACAGAGGAACCAAGATGAGGACATATTTCTTCTCAAACTGCACACCCTTGGTGTGGCACTTTTTAAATGCTGAAAGAAAAGTAACCCATTGATCCAGAATTCTACCTTTAGCAGAAATATTCTTCAAAAATGAAGGTGACAAAAGACATTCAGAGAAGAAAAGAGAATTTGTTACCGGTAGACATGTTTCATAAGAATTGGTAAGGACCATTTGACAGAATGGAGTTCAGAAACTAACCCGTGCATATGTGGACAACTATATATGTGACATCTTTTGACAAAAGTGGCAGAACAATTCAGTGAGGAAAGGGTATTCTTTTCAATAAGTAGAACAGCTACGTGTTCATATGGGAAATGATCTTCAACTCTTGCTTCAAACCATGTGTAATTTTAGTGCAAAACACCTGACAAAGGACATATCCAGAATGCTTATAGTTCAATAATGGAAAGTCAACCCACTAAATATTGGGCAAAAGATTGAATAGAACCTTTTATAAAAGGTAATTTAAGTTGCCAAGGGTGTTCACTCCTAGCCATTAAGAAAACAAACCACTATAAACTTAGTAGGATGGCTTAAATTATGACAACAATAACAATTGCTGCATCAGTCTCTTTTCTGTTGCTAGTACCGCAAAACCAAACTGGGTGAGTGATTAAGAAAAGAGGTTTATTTCTGGAGGTTCATGGTTGATGGGCTGCATCTGGTGATGGCCCTGTAGGACTTTACCTGGCAGGAAACCACCTATATTATGTGTCCATCCATCTGATTTCTTACAGAGCCACCAGGATTCAATTAGGCTCCAGTCTAATGACCTTATCCAGAGCTCCACCTTTAAACACCAAATATTAAGTTTCCACCCTCTTAGTACCTGACAGTGGGGATTAGATTTCAGCACATGAAGCTGTGGGGGACATTCAAACTATGTACCAACCACTGCTACTGCCAATTCCAAGTGTTTGTGAAGACATGGAGCAACTGGGACTCGGGTATTACTTGTAGGAGTGCAAAATAGCACAGCCACTTTGGAAAGCAGTTTGGCAGTTTCTTAAAGATATACTTCCCATAGGATCCAGCAACTCTATTTCCAAATATTTACCCAAAAGAAGTGAAAACACATCCACATAAAAACTTGTACAAAAATATTCATAGCTTTTTGTTCTTAATGACTAAACCAGAAAGGCCTGTTATGTTCAGTATATGAAAAGATAAATGAGTGAAAGACACCAGACAAAAAAGAATACTTACTGCATAATTTTATTTCTATGAAATTTTAGAAAATGTAAAACTAGTCTATAATGATAATCATGATTACCTGGGACCATGAAGACAAAGTGGGGGAGGGTGTGAGGTGGGAGGTTTGCCTGCCAAGGTGTGCAAAGGAGGTTTTGGGGTGGGGGGGTGATAAAAATTGTATGTATCTTGGTTGTAGTGGTGTTTATTTGGCTTCATACAGTGGTGAATCATCAAACTGGATTTAAAATGGGAGTCTTTTGTTATGTTAACTATTTTGTGTTTATGTAAATTATACCTAAAGTTTGTAGCAAGAAAATGTTTTGCAGGAAAAGTTACTGAAGAGTAAGCTGAAATGATTTTTTATTTTTTATTTTTTTTTTTGGTAGGACTGGGGTTTGAACTCAGGGCTACGAGCTTGCAAAGTAGGCACTTCCAAAGCAAGCATTTTACCATTTGAGCTATATCTTCAGGCTTGAAATGGTTCTATTTTTATAAAGTATAGAAAAGTTCATCTGTATTTCCATCTAATCTTCATCTGAAATAAAATGGATAAGATAATAGATAAGTCACATTACAGTAAGGGGAGCAATGACAGAGGTAACTCCATTTTGGATAAAAGAACCACTTTAAAAGCAGACCTAAAGAGGCGTGGGAAACAACAGGCTTCTCAGAGAAATAACAAGCCTCTCACCAGAGTAACAAGATGCAGCTGCACAGTGTGGGTGCTGGGCCCCCAAACCAAGACAAGTTGAGCAAACTTCCAAGGATGAGTTGACCAAACCCTCCTGGAATGTCCAGTCTGATAAGGATGGGCAGGGTCAGGAGGCAACCAGATGGGTGGGTTCAGCAAGAAGTTAATTAGACAGCCAATTACAGATGCAGCCAGTTAATGCCCTTTATTACCTCCTTGACTTCAGTCATTCTTTGACTTAGCCCTTTCACTAAGTCCTACCTGTCAGGGTGCTTTAGTATCCTTTCAATAAACTTTGTGCTTGCTTTACTCTTAACTCCTGCTCCAGTGTCTTTAACCGTCAACTATGGACACAAACCTGGGGAACAACAATCTAGTATCATTACTAAAAGTAAAAATTCAGCCAATTGAACTGGGTGAGTGACTCAATGGTAGAGCGCTTGCCTAGGAAAGGCAAGGTCCTAAGTTCAGTCTCCAGTACGGCCCTCCACAAATGCATCCAATTTGATTATCACTTAGTATCAATTTTAACAAGCATCTCCAAAGATTTTTAAATGGATAGGGAATGTGTAATTTAGAGTCACTATGGATTTTTGTCAATTATGCTTCGGTAAAGCTGGAGGGGAGGAGGAAGTGTCTAATGCACAGATTATGGTATTTGTATGCGATTTCTTAATAAAAGAAACAGTCTTTGGGTATCACTTCTAGGTCTGTGCAGAAAATAAGATTAGCCTGAGCAATCTTCTTGGGCAAGAAAGCAAAGACACTCAACAAATTAGGATAACGTTAAAGGACATGGGCTTCCACTGAGTAGGATGGGCCAATTTCAGCTTCAACAAGAGTAATGGCATTAGGCCTGAAACACATCACATGTTTTGAAAAGCTTACTTTCTAATGCAACACAAACATTTTTGGATAACTTTGGAAGTTGTCAGGGCACTAGCTCATTTCATTATAAAAATAGGTAAGGATTATAAGTCAAGCATTTATCATGTCTTCCATGTACAGAATTGTTCCAGTTAATTTTTGCATCATAAGAAACCCCAATTTTAGTAGTTTAAAACAACAATCACTTATTTTCCCCATGAATCTGTTGGGCTTGACTTGGATTTTTTTTTTTTCATGTGACATTGACTAGGGTTTTTGCTAAGCTTTGTTAAGGTCTATCAGAAGTAGCTTTTACTCTGTGGAGAGTTAATCCCATTATTAGGGAGTAGTATTTATGGGGTTTCTATTGGATGCCTTGAGTGATCAAACAGCAAGACTATGCTGGCTACAGGGAATTCAGATAAATTCCCAGAACCACAGAATTTCTGGGAACTGTTCTGCTCATAGCTATTGAGCCCTCTGCCTGACTTCATAGAGTCTCATCATATTCTTCAATCCTAAATATTTTGACCTGTGTTTCCAAAGAATAAGGACATTATCCTATATAACTGTAAGAAAATGAGCAATAATTCCATAATACCATCTAATATTTAATCCATATTAAACTCCACCAATTGTCTTTAAAATGACTAAATCAACATCCAGTCAAGATTTATGTATCACATTTAGTTATTGTCTCTTTATTCCTTTAATCAAATTTAGACTTTGCAGCTTTGAGGAATCTAGGGTAGAAGAGTAGACAAACAGCGGCATGCCCCATCTCCTAATGTGCTTGGTTATTTTATTATGGAATAATTTCTAAATGCTAGAAGTTAGTGCTAAAGCTAACTTGATTAGATTCAGTTTAAGAAAATCTTGTAAGTTATTTGTGTTGCTGATATTATGTAAAACCCAGGTGGTTCATAATTTCTCATTGTTTCAGGTGGTGATAATGAGAACCCTTAGTTAGGAAAGTCACTTTTTTCCCTTTACAATTAATAAGTAATCCTAGTACTTTATACACACTGCTACAAATTGTGGTAGGCTGAATAAAACCCACTCTCCACCCCCAAGGCACTCACATCCTAATCCTGGGAACTTGTGGGTATGTTGTCTTATGTGGCAAATGGCACTTTTACAGGTATGACTAAATTAAAGATCTTGTGAGAGGGAAGTTATCCTGGATTATTCGGGTGGGCCCAGTGTTATCCCAGGTATCCTTATAAGAGGGAGGCAGAAGGGTCAGAGTCAGGGAGGAGATATGATGACGGACATAGAGGTTGGAATGATGTGGGGCCCTGAGATTCAAGAAACGTGGACAGCATCTAGAAGCTAGAAATGGTGAGAATCAGATTCTGCTCTAGAACCTCCTGAAGGAAGTGGCTGTGCCGACCTCTTTTGGATTTCTGGTCTCCAGAACTTATTATTACAAAATAATAAGTCCATGTTGTGAGAAGCCACTAAGGTTGTTACATCAGCAACAAGAAATTAATAGAGGATGATCCTTGTGTGAGTTAGTGT